CCAACAGCTGACTGACACAAATGTTAACTAGCATGCAAAGAATAAAAATCGATAGCTGCATTCGTCACAAGTGGGAAAAATTTAAATCTGCATGACACTTTACTCCAATTGGCTCATTCGCTTGCTTAAACTCAACGTTGATTCTGATTCCGCAGAACTGGGTTGGGTGTGAAAAAGTATTTGTTGTTAACATTCTTTTTTCATTCGGTTTTTCCAGTTACGAGTCCTTTTTTAAAGCTGATCATTTTGTGTTCATTTTGTTTAGTTCTTTTTTCGTAACAGATTTAATGTTTACTACAGAGCTTAGAAAAAATTTGCAGTGTGAAATAGGCAAGAAGTAAGGCATGTAGCAACATCAGCACGGCAAAGGACACTCCTTTAAAGGGAAGGAAGGGCCAAAATATTTTAAGTCAAGTCATACCGATTGCTGTATGAGTCGTACGATTTTTGAATCAAGCACGGGCAACGCCGGGCCATGCTGCTAGTTTTATATATGATGGACTCTCCCATCAAACTATAATTTTTACAAGATGGAAGAGTCCATCATATATAAAATAGAGAGTTATTTTTCAATCACCTTGTATATGTGGGAAAGGAAACCTTTATACAGGAGCGCTGAAAAGTTATCGGTTCGACTAAGTAGGGATTTTAAGATTAAATTTGATGTTTAGTCATTTGGTCAGATTTTGGCAAGTAGTTTGGGCCGAGAACTTTACAGACTCTTCGTATTAATTTACATGAAATTATACGCCAAATAAATAGATAAAAATAACGTTGTATATATTTCATACTAAATTTCTTGATAGAAAGTAATGCGCAAATGATAAGAAATACTTTTTCTTAATAAAAACAACGAAAAAAATATAAACATGTATCGATGTGATCTGAGCAAGCAATTATTGCTTTTCCAGAGTAATAGCTTCACTGATGAAACTCTAATTTTGCCAGTGTTAGTTTCATAGATTTGAATCGCAAAAAAAACAAAACAAAAACAATTTACAATAGTAACTTTTCTTCTGTTTTTTTCCCGTCTTATTTCTCTTTATAATAATTCTTAAATGAATATCTAATATATTTACGACAATATTCGGCTAAAAGCTTTATTGCTTATTCGTTGAAAGACAAGATATATTCAGCCTGTCTTTAGATGATTACTATTTCTATACTATATATATATATATATATATATATATATATATATATATATATACACACATCTTTTGCTTTGTAATAGTGAGTGTACATAGTTGTGGAGAATTGATTATCCATGGTGTTGTACAGAGGACTTGAAAGTGGGATTTAAGCACTCTTTATTTTTAATTTTTTGTGAAAAAAATAAAAAAAACAGAAGACTAACTTTATGGCCTGTTCAGCGACAATGCCCATAGATGACATTTTTTCTATATTTTCTGGTGTTTTGCGAGTGATTGCTCGTCTTGAACGTTTATACTCTTGAACACACATTTGACAGTCCTTGATGCTGAAAGAATTGATACCCGAATTTGTAGGCTGTTGTAAAGTTTGCAGAGCCGTTGCAACACGTCATTACAAAATCTTGCATAATCATCAAACACAAGTTGATAGTTGATTACCAATGAGCCTCAGGTACGCGCGTAGGTTCCCAGTGAACGGTAAACAATCACAGCTCGTACGTTTGGTGAACTTTCAGAGACCACTTCAAAAATGTTACGTACGCCAGCTCAGATTAACATGTTAGCCCCAGAAGTTATTGAGTTCGATTCTCACTGGGTATTCTTACGGTCCCTGTGTCAGACATGCAGAAGTATAAGAAACACTAAGCCCTAGACACTTTTGTCTAAATAGAGGGGTTATGCAAGAGTTTCTCAGGCCAACGTTAGTGAATTTTCTCCTCACTCGGTGCTTCGTTATTCTTGTGTTAGATTAAGCCAAGTTAGTAAATATATAAAAACTTAAAAGATTGCCTTTTGGAAGAAGTGTTTGTCTCCCAAACTATTCTTAGTGATTCTGGACTTTATTGGGTTATTTTGTCATTAGAAATGGTCCCGAACCTAGGGTAATTCTAGCAAGTAGGGTAAAAATATATTAGCTCAGCCAAAATCATCAGCGATATTTAATTTATGACCATAAAATTGTACTGGTAATGTTGAGATTAGCTGTTTCCATCGAGGAAACATTCAGCCTTCATTGATCGAATAGTTAGTATTACTCTCAGTTAAAATTTATAAACTCTTTCTTAAAACAGCTTTTCCAGGAAATTAGACTTTCCCTGTCCACTCTTATCACTATTTCTAGAATCGATTGGAGTTCCTTCCAAACTTTTGATTTCTTTTTTTGGCAATGTGGAAAGGAAACAAATTTAATATATCATTATTTTCCCTTCGAGTTATATGTGCTTTCCAGAGTTGTCGCCGTATTTGTTGAAAACTTTGGACGTTGCTTTTTGTAATTTTGTAGTATTTTTTTTTTTTTTTTACATATTCTGATGAAGGATCTTCTCCTTTAAGATTTATAGGTTTCATTCGTTTGAAGCCGTTTTAATCATTGATCTTAGAAAACATTGTTGAAGTATCTGTCTCTGTTTCTGAGATGGGGTATTGTAACTATTTACATTGTTCGGACTATTGTCCTTATCTTCACTGTTATATTGTTGGAAACCTTGGACGTTGCTTTTTGTTATTTTGTAAAGTTCTCTGTAATTTTTGTAGTAATTTCTGAAATTTTTTACATATTTTGATGAAGGATTTTCTCCTTTAAGATTTATAGGATTCATTCTTTTGAAGCCGTTTTAATCATTGATTTTAGAAAATGCTTGTTTAAGTATCTGTCTATATTTCTGAGATGAAGTATTGTAATTATTTACATTGTTGGGACTACTGTCCTCCTCTTCATTGTCATATTCATGACGTTTCGTCCGATATACGTTCCGACCTTCTTCAGGTGTCATACAAATTTTGAACCGAACTCTTTATTTCGTACACCGGTGTAGATTGTTTTGTGGCCAGTTATTGAACTCGCAACATTTTGGGTCAAGTCACTGAATTACTTCAGCCAACACTTTTATTCACTGAGACATGTGTCCTTGGCTGAAGTAATCCAGTGACTTACCCCCCCCCCAAAAAAAAAGCTGTGCGTTCAATACACAGCAGAGGGGAATTAAAACTTGGAGAGTTGAGTTAATAAAGGGAAATAGCTGAAACTGATATATCCGGAAAAGGCATGGCACGTGGAACTAGAACAATCTACCCCGGTGGGCGAAATAAAGGGTTTGATTCGAAATTACAACAGATTAAGTATTAGCAATTTCTGAATGAGATGGATGCGTTGCAGGATATGAATATAAAAATCTCAATCCGACGAGGTTCTTTATAAATACAACTTTCAGGTTAATATTTGAATTTTGTACCATCATACGGTGTTTGACAGCAATACTTCAACACTACATATCCTATGCTCAATTTCCTTATTTTATATAGTAAATTTGTTATACTTGATCTATAGACCAATGTTATCGTTCATCCACGAATCGCATAATTTATATAAGTCCACTTTCTGTATGCCTTTGTAGAATTTCGCGTCAACTAGATGTCTTCATTTGTTATTGTTTTCCGCACAGCATTCCGGCCTAAGTGTTCTACGACCTTCTTTGACTATATGTTGCCTTCAACAGTTTTTGATCGTTGTTTATTATCTTGTCAAACATTTGACACTTCCACAGTGAGAGTAAGTCTCTCATCCACGCGACAAGTATCTGTGCTTTACCTATAAATCATTTATGAATTCAGAAAAAATGTTTTAAATAGAGTGGAATAGAGATTTGTTAAGAAAAACAATGAAGATCAATCAGAGGTTAGCGGATGAAAACAAAAAAGAAAAGAAAGAAAAAAGAAAGAAAGAAAAAAGAAAAGAAAGAAATGTGGCTACAACATTGTGACAAAAACGATAAAAATAGGAGTATCAGATACAAATAACTTATAGAATAGTGACAATATTCCATTACAGCATATTCAACAGGAAATAAACAATTAAATTAACTTTTAATAGGAGTAGATAGGTTCGGCTATCGTCTGGTTCACACTTCTCTCCGGTCTTTTGAACATGAGTAGAGATTTATCCCTTGTTTCCTGTTTAGGATCAAATTTCCGATTCATTCTAAAGTTTTCTCATTCGCTTTCACATCCAGTAGCCTCATACGTCTTAGTGACATTATCGCCTTGATTGGAGAGAATTGATTAAAAAAAACTTTGGCAAATAAAACCCTTCTTAAAATCTGAACACAAAGTAAAAACCTTTTTTCTTTCAGATTTTGTAAATTAATCTTCTTAATTCGATTACTGACTTCGTTTATAGCACGTTTTTTTAACAGAATTATATCTCTTTATATATAACGCTGAGAGAGATGGTTAGCGGGCTCTATTTGTAAACTATGGCTTCTGATTTTGTCTTTCACTTGGTGTTCCACAGACGTCCTTGATGTAAAGTTAGAGATATATTTGTGTTTCTGGCTATTTGCTGTTGGCATTTTGAAACCAATTTTATCAAAAACTGTATATGGATCTTGTTTGCTGGTATATTTTAAGACTGCAGAACCTTTTAAGGGACTTGTTAAATCCGTAAATTTAAGAGGAAGATTAGACGACACACAATGGTAAATAGAGCGGGTAATATCCTAGCTTCTTGATAACCCCTAATTAGCTGATAACTTACTGAAAACCTGCCAGCGAGCTACTTTGAGAAGGTCTTTGAAGATAAAATTATTTAGGCCGCATCTGGATTTATTGGTGCCAATGTTTAGTCGGAAACGAACAAGAAGAGTAGTTTCTTGAAGGCATATCACTTACAAAAGCAGATAGCAGGAATGACATGAGTGTAACTATTTGACCTTAAATTTGTAACTGGTGTTAATGATCATAGCGTAAATAAATATTCACTTAGTCAAAAATATGTAATAACTAGCTCTTTACATATTATTCATTAAACAAATATATAAAAACTTTAATTCCTTCGAATGGTTATAGGCATACGGCCGCATCACGTTGAAAAACCGGTTCCCGTACGATCACCGAAGCTAAGCAACGTCGATTCTGGTCGATACTTAGATGGGTGACCGTTTGGGAATAACAGGTTCTGTAAGCTTAGACGTGTGGGTGGTGTAATGAATAATGGCTCAGAACTGTTAATCGGAGAGCTGAGTTCTAATTCCAGCTTGGTTTGTAAAAGGTATGGATGAACGTCGACCCCCCCTCAGCTATAGTTTAATTAGTAGGACTTGTATAACTATTATTTATTGTAAAACCATTATTTTTGGAAAAAATGTGTTTAAAATATATAGATTTCGGCATTAAATAACCCATAGAGATTGATATAACACCAAACAAAATCACCCAACAAAAACTCCCATGGACGCTATGATGGATCTCTGGTCGAGTGGAATTTCAGCAGAATATTATGTACAAAGATCTGTAGCTGAAAGAATAAAATTATGTACAAATTATTTAGATTTCGGCATTAACTAACACATAGAGGTTGATATAACGCTAAAACGAAAAAATAAAGAATTCTTATTTATATAAAGCGTCACAGAAAATATTGGCGGTAAGTGAAATGTTTAAATCGATCGTCAAGTTTGTATTTTATCATCGACAATTTCAACTCAGTTATACGTAGGTCCGATCAAACCTTTATATATAGAAACATTTTATAAACACTTGATGTCAAAATGAAACAAGTAAAGAAGTTTAGTTTCTTCTAAGTGTTTCAACAGATGGAAAATTTAATACCAAAAAACGAAGGCACATTGTAATCGCAAAATATACCTTCCGAAATTACTAAGAAACAGGAATTTTTCCTTAGAAACAAAGAAAATGGTGCCGAACTGTTATTTAATATCAATCCGCCTAAAAGGCAGTAAAGGTTGTAAAATTTCCTCACAGATGAAGACTAGAGACAATAGAAATGTCGTTCTATGGGAGGATGCTGACAACAAGGATGCACCGACGAAGCAACGAGGAAGTATAAAGGAAAATGGAACCAAAAAGAACACATATACTAAGACAGTAGAACTTTCTAGGACACATAACGAGGAAGGAGGGCTTTGAAAATATGACACTCACAAGACATATCAAAGGCAAAAAAACGGGGGAGGCAGCATCCTTTCTACCTGATGAACTTGTGAGAATAGATGACCGAACGGGGAGAGATGGTAAAAAGAAAAAAATATTACTGAAAAAATTAAGAGATAAGCTGTAAAGAACCATAATCGCTCATGTCCTGAAGGGACGCGGCACACCGAAGCAGAACCTATAGTTGTCGATTAGCTTTAAAAGTCTACCGATTATACATTTTCTTCATTGGCAAAGTAAATATTTTAAGCGGTAAGAATAAATAAATTGTAATTAAAGATTTTTTTTTTTACAAGGGTTTAATTTAAAGGTCTTTTTAGCAAATTACAACATTCAATCTGCTTGGTACGCTTCGTGAATCAGAAAGAAAAGGATTGGCATTGGTCAAGAATTAAGCCATGTGTTACTAAGAAAATTAAACTATATTATGTTCTTATAATATAACTGAAATATGTCCATGTTGATGGCTTTTATGTTGTGTTTCAGACCAATACTAGTTTACGGCCATATAGCGTCAAAACATCGGTTCTTACAGGCAAAGTTGAGATTTATGGGTAAAGAGATTTCTAGGCTGAAGTTCACGGTCATGGCGAGACCCCCTCCCACCCACGATATTATCAACGGCCATATGTCTGTGTCCAAACCGAGCCTTCAAGTTGGAGAAAATCAGCTGTGGTTTTACTTGGAGAGGGATGAATACATCACCGGTTTTCAACCTAGATACGTGGAGGGAATTTGTAAGGTCATCGGCTGCGTAGCGACCCGACGACCACACCCAGTCATGGGACTGATGATGAATGTAGAGGCCATGGACTTCGAATAATTGTATCTAGCACACCTCGATAATATACTGATATATCAAATGTAAATAGGGGATAGGGACCTTATAAGCCATTAAATACGGTAAATAAAATTCATAGCGAGAAGAGTGTAAGATAAAATTTACCATGAAGTTTGTTCAATTGTAGTAATGCATGAAAAAGATTAATGGTCATTTGTACTTCCCAATAGTGTATCGATACCGTCCAAAAGCTAAGCAAAGTATTAAGAAACAGGAAAATTTCGTCAGAAACAAAAGAAAAGAGTACTGAACTTTTACGTGATACTGAATGCTAGAAATCTTCTCACAGACGAAGAAAATACTTAAAAGTAAAAGAAATTTAGTTCTATAAAAGGATGTCGAGAATATCATGGACCAAACAGGTGAGCAACAACGAACTTTTATAGAAAATTGAAACAAAATGGACGCTTAACATCAGGAAGAGACACTTGACGTTTCTAAGGCAAATAATGAAGAAAGAAAGCTTGGAAAATTTGATACTCAGAAGGCAGATTGAAGGCAAGAAGGACAGAGGAAAGCAGCGCATAACCTACATAGCGAGCACGAGTAAATGGATGGGAGAAAAGGCTTTAGGAGGGATAACAAAAAGACAAAATTTATTAGGAACTACAAAGGGCAGGAAATTGTGGAGAGCCATGATCGTTAACATCCTGAAGTGACAATGCACGTAAAAAAAGATGACCATCCATACAGCTTCATTCCCTTCATGAGAGCCACAATAAAAATGCATTAATGAAAAAGAAATCTATAGTTAGCGTTTTGCTTTTCATTAAAGGCCTCACAGTTGTTTAAAATAAAGGTCCACACACACACACACAGAGAAAGTAACTCCGAAAGAAGTTCTTGTAAAATATATAAACAAGAATCAACCTTTATATAGAGGAATTACTTCTCTATATAAAGGTTGATTCTTATTTATATATTTTCCAAGTATGGCCGCTTCGATGAGGTGTAATAGTTAGGAAGCATTTCTAAATTAATTACGACTGAGCAATGAGTTCGATCAAAACTGATTACTCCTTACTCGCGGCCTTGTGCGACATCAAAGCTATGTTTACTAAATTGCTCTATCTTAAATACGTTCATTACTTAGCACGCATATGTAAATAATATGGAGGCACCAGGAGGTAGTGTAAAGATTAGCAAGTTTAGTAAATCATAAGGCACTTCAACATGGCGTAATGGTGAGTAAGGTTGTTTAACTAGGTCATTTATGACTGAATAGCGAGTTCGATCCTCACTTTCGGCCTTGTGCCACATCTAAGCTACGCTTAGAAATTACTTTTCGGGCACTTCAACGTGGTGTAATTGTTAGCAAGCTTGTCTCTTTATCCCAGTTACGGCTGAATACGATTTCGATCCTCACTGGGTTCTCCATACTTTCGTCTTTGTGCCACTTCTAAGCTACGCTTAGTAAACTGCTATAGGTAAATAAAACGGAATGAAGGTCACAGGAAGAGTATTTCGTGATTTTATTCAAGATGAGAAACAAATGAAAATAATTTAGAAAGCTTCTTGTCCAGCATACAAGTGCTCATAATTTAAGATTTTTTGTAATACCATGTCCGTTTAGGAACTAGGATCATGACTCTCCGCAGCTTCCTTTATTTAATAGATGTGAATTGGGAAATATAGTGGAGCGGTTTCCAGTTACTTTCTCCACGGTTTTTAATTTGTAGTTTTTCTTATAGAGTGGACACCACCCAAGGCACGAAAGCTCAGACTGCTTTGTTATTGAACATATAGCTGGGTGGGAGAATAAAAGATAGATTCATTCTTTTTCCAAGGTTAGTAGTCCAATTTCTAACGCAATAGATTAGTTCAGAATTTGAACTTGAGAAGACGATGGAGTAGTATCCGCAGCAGCCACCACCAGCGTTTTCTACCAATCCAATCGGCGATTCAAGTTTTACTTTCTACTTATCTCGTGGATCACCGTGGTTTCGACTGCCTAATCTCGGCTAGGACTGCCTGCTACTACCAGCTCAACACGCCATCTATCGACCTTCGCTGACTGCCTGTCAACCTTCGACACATCCCAAGTAGTTTTGTCTTCATCTTCTGGTTACCAAAAACTGCCTGCCCTGGACTAAGATTGCCAGCTGGTACCAACCAACTCTCTATCAACCTTCACCACCATTCGTTGATCCAGTCATCATCAGCTGTCTACGCATCAAAGAGCAACAAACTAATTTCACGACCACAAATGTGCTTTCCTTTTTTCTGCCAATAATAAATTTTGGCATATTTTACCTAACTCTTTGTTCTCGTTATCTTTGCTTTGGCCTGTGTCACTTCTTCAATCTTGATGTTTGCGGGGTTCGTCTAACATCGGCATTCGAACCCCACAAGAATATATATATATATATATATATATATATATATATATATATATATATCAGATCGCATATGCCATCGATAAAATCATGATTAGTGTGAAGTTGTTATTTGGGATAAAACGCACCTCTTAAGTATTTTTTTGTTTAATATTTATCATTCGATTACCTATTAAGCATATAATTGTTTATATTTTTGAGACTACAACTTCTATTTCGAAATCGGATGCAGAAAACTCAATTTATCAAATTCTCACCAACATAGAAAACACAATCTTAATAGAAAGGACTATTATCAGTAGGAAACATCGAATTTTGCGCGATATATTTAAAGAATGGCCATACACTTAATTCTCTAGAAGACTGTCGACCCCCCCCCCGAAAAAAAAACAAAAAACAAAAAAACACATGCTATCTACCCCTCTCTCTGAAGCACAGACAAAAGCCTGTAGAACGAGTGCGTGTAGTATAACGGTTATCAGTACGGAAAATGGAATCAGCAAACCGAGTTCGAATTTCGGCTTTGGTTACTTCTGTTCCCTTTGCACGAATGCCCCTGAAAATAATATTAATCAACATCATCTCACTATTTTCCATAGTCAAGTATCTTGACAAAAAAGGTCTCGTCCCTGGCATGCTACGTTGGTTGATAGAGAAAAGAATAGGTGAATGAGCATTTGGGCATATTACACCTCTATAATATCGAACCGCCTAGGCAGTAGTCACACTGAAATTAATTACCGTCATTGTCATTCTGATAAGGAAGTAATGGAATTCATTGAGGAGAGGGAAAATTTTAATTCACATGGCAACGAATACCCTAAATGTAGCTAAC